TTGGCAGGGGGTCAAACAATGCATAGCACACACCCCCCCACCCCCCCGTTCAACAAGAAGGAAAGGGTGACTCAGGTGTACTTCTGTTCATGAAACTTCTCAATGTTATAGTCTAAAGTAATGTAATCTATGAAATTGAAACCCTATTTTCTATCTACAAGCAATGCCTACCTCTATTTCTAGGTGGAGGTAAAGCTTGTCTGTAACTTCATAAAAAAGCCAAGTAGTAAGTTTTTCAGGTTCTCCATCTTACTAGTTCAGATCCATCCTGACTAAAACAAAAGATGTTATTAGGTCTGTGGTAATCAACAGCTTGTATCCAGGGTTGGAGGGGAGCAGGAAATCAGTGAGCAGACAGGTCACTTGCAACTGCAAAAAACACATCAAACTAGACAAATACTGTCTATCAATAGCTTAACAAAAACATTAAAAAACCCAAAACAAAGCAAAAAAAGAGACTAAGATGACCATAGTAATTCTAGCTGGTTAACCCTGTGTGAATTCATGGTAAAAACTGCTGGGAGTTTGACATGCGATCTATGAAAGCAGAACAATTTCTAGTTATGCTACAGTTTGCAACTGGAAGGTGCTGACTTCTCTTTACAGACATACACCTTGCCCATCTGTTGGCCTTCATGGCTATAACGGACAAAAAAAATATTCTCTCAGTAAATCCAATTGTGTTTTGACAGTAATGGCATAAATAAAATTTCATATAGTATTTGAACGCCATATGTGAATCGAAGTATTTTTTAAAATAGAGCATTTATGATTCAATCATAATGGTTTAGCCTGCAAAACAATGAAAAACTAAGGACCATCAGTATTTCTACAGGTAGTCCATAGAAAGGTTCAATTCACAAGATGAATTATCCAAAACATGAACCAATCCTTGATACTTTAAATTCACATGAAGTTGGGAGGGGTTTAATGCCTTTCCTATTTCCAACAAGAACTAGTTTTGTACAGTCAAATGGAAGACAATTCATCCACAAATAAATCATTTAGATTGAACAATTTCAGAATATTATTTTGTAAAGCAGCATTTGTCAGTGTTAAGTGGTGTCATGTCTTTACAGGAAACTAATTCTGTAAGAGCTTTAGTCCACCATACCACCCTTTTTTTGGGCACAAGATCCAGCAAGACTAGACAGGTAGTGTTATCCAGTAATGTATCATTAGAAGATGGATTACAGACACTGGATTTATATCCAAAGACAGAAGACAAAGAAGCAGACAAATACCTAGAGGCGGCGGGAAAATGCAAGACCTGCTTTCAGTTATTTTTAGGTTCTCTTTTCTATGTAGTTCTTCAAGAAATAGGGTACTCTGATCAAAAAAGCTAAGGTACTATACTACCTCTGTATTGGAAAATTAATGTAGATGAATGAATGAGAAAAACAGTTAAACATTAAATGTACCTATTTTGAATAACATATTTGCCACCCAACTCAAATGCTTGCTTCTTAAATTGAGGTAAAGCTTTCTTAAAGTGCTGACACTCATCTTTTTATACTATACTTGGTCGAATTTCTTGAACTGACATCTGACTTTCCGTATCTTGTAAGAGGCTAGTAGCTTCTTCCACCTGAAAAGGTGGCTTCCTTAACTACATACAAGTTTTGCCCAAATGTTGTTTTTGCAATAAATTTGTAAGCTACTAAAATTACTGTAAGACTGTTTCTATTAAAAGAAAAACCCTTCAACGTAAGTAAAAATAGATACCACTTCTCACTTAGCAAGCATCCGAATCATGAATCGCTGCATGCTGGGAGTATTCATGGGAAGTATTAACACACACTTTCCAAATTCTCTTGCCTCTTCCCACTGGCCACTGTTGCAGCCAGGATTCTCAGCGTCACCACTGGCCTCAGGAAAGCTTATGAAAATTTGAGATAACATTTCACCATTCTTACTGCTTCCATGAACTACTTAAAAACCCTGAAGCTCCTTTTTAAACATTCTCCTTGGCACACAGGAGAAAGTTAAAATACCCAAAGCCACTTCAGTTGCGTGGTTTAGGCTGGGCATCCCTTCCACAGCAGATACAAAACCTGTGACTAGCAATAAAATATTGTGACCAGCTTCACCAGTGCAAAGTACGGGGGACGACCACCTCCCTACTCCTGCTGGCCATGATATTTCTGATACAGGCCAGGATGCTGTTGGGCCTTCTTGCCCACCTGGGCACGCTGCCGGCTCACGTTCAGCTGCCTGTCGACCAGCACCCCCAGGTCCTTTTCCCCCGGGCAGCTTTCCAGCCACTCATCCCCAGCCTGTAGCGCTGTGTGGGGTTGTTGTGACCCAAGTGCAGGACCCGGCACTTGGCCTTGTTGAACTTCATACAACTGACCTCAGCCCATCAACCCAGCCTGTCCAGGTCCCTCTGCAGAGCCTCCCTACCCTCCAGCAGATCAACACTTCTACCCAACTTGGTGTCATCTGCAAACTTACTGAGGGAGCACTCCATCCCCTCATCCAGGTCATCGATAAAGATGTTAAACAAGACCCGCACCAAAACTGAGCCCTGAGGGACACCGTTTGTGACCAGCCGCCAGCTGGACGGAACTCCATTCACCACCACTCTGAGCCCAGCCATCCAGCCAGTTCTTTACCCAACAGAGTACACCTCTCCAAACTTACGGAGCTACTGTGCACGGCTTGTTTGCGCAGCAATACCTGTACCAATGTTACAAGCCTCTGAAAAGGAGTGACGCAAGAGCACATGATTATCATAGGCAGATCAGATTTATTTACACTATAGGGGAAGAAAGGCTTGTTAAGTTTGTCGATTCCCCCACCAGTTGATATTTATGACTGTTTCAAAGTACACTTTAAGAGAAGTCTCATTTAGGGTAAATGAACATTAAAATGCTGCAACAAAACAATGAGATATTCTAAGCTGTATCACAACCAAGAGAGGACTACCTTACAAAGTAGAAGCTTAAAGATATTCCAAGTCTATTAATTTTTACTGATGAGAACTGCATATTCAGAGAATAGTACCTAAAAAAACTAAGCCTCTGAATTTGTCACGTATGACTAGAATAGCACTGAGATTTCTTACAAATAAAAAAACCTAGCAGTTTTCATTTGCTAATTACAAAGTTAAATTTTCTGAGTCCATTCAATTCATATACAGCTTCTCTGATACTCACCTAATACAGCAATGTAAAAGCTTCCCCAACAGACTAATCTATTAAGCCTTTATTAATTTTACTGTATCTCTCTTCTTTACACGAGGTAATTACAAATGCATAAATAATTTTGCATCCATGCCACAGAACATGACGTTGCTGTGTTCCCTAGACTATCCCAATTCCTCCCACTGTTCTCTTCCCATTCTCAGCAATTCATGAGTTTCCCTCCTTACCTCAGACCCAGATCTTTCTTCACATAGTTTCATCTAGTCCTCCATCTTCACTGTCACAGGTTCCACTTCAAATCTTCCAGGGGCTTCATCTTTCCAACATGCAGTACCATTTCTGAAGCTGTAGAGACAGACTGCTGTAGGTACTAATGCACAGACCGTGGTGCTACTATCAGCAAGTACGTTCTCTCTGTCGCACTCTCATGAGAGGGAACCACAAGCATTATGCAGGAGCAGGAAGCAGATCTAATCAGGACTTGCCATAGTATATTCCTGACTCAGTATTTTATTTCCACAACTATAGAGTTAAATAAGTGTTAGACAATATTAAACAAACCTTTTAACTTTAATATTCAAATTCAACACTAGTAAGAACAAATAGAGCACAAATGGGAAACACTGTTTAAACTAAAATTAATGAAGAGACAAGCCAGTAATTAGAACAGTTCTATTTTTTAGGAACATCTGTCAGCCTAAGTCCAACATCAGTACAGGTTCCAACAGCCACATCCTGTTCATTCCAGAGCTTAAAACTGAATAGTTAAGCTTTGTATGCTCAGGCTGCGGCTGCAGCTTCAGTATAGTATACTATAAGCACAAACTTATGTACATAAACAATGAAGAAAAACCTGAACACTTACACTAAATTATTTACAAGTACTCCAACATTAAAAAAAAAATACAATAACCTCAAGAATGGACAACTGAAAAGAACACCAACATTTAAAGAACCTTATTAGAAAGAATTACAAAACATCAATAGCCAAGACATTAACAATTGCACTACACTAATACAGAGTCCAAATATTAAATTGGTGCATGAATTCACAATGCACTAGCTTTGAGAGAAAAATGCTGCCTTCACTAAAATGCAGCTTAGATTTATTTCACGTAATTGTTTTAACAAGAAGCCTATTAACACAATAATGATTGTTTTAATGCTACAGTTTACAGCGAGGACAACAAACTAAAAATAGCAGCAGTTCCACATGGCACTTAACTCCACAGGTTTCTAAGCTGTGGTTTATGCAATGCCTACAAAGTGCTCCCAGTTGAATATACAAATAAAATTCACAATAAAAGTCTACCTGACATCAGGTACATTGAGTGTAGGTGGCCTTAAAGCCTGTCTTTCAAAATTTCTTCCCCTCTACTCCAAAAAAAAACAAACCAACCAGTAACTATCAAAGCAACGCCCCCTCCCTCCCTCTTAAAGATCATTAAGGATATCACTTCTCATTACAATGCCGTAACACTACAAAGCAGCACACCACTATAGTGGTTAACCCTGGGACGATGTAACATCTAACAGTGTAATTGAAAGGCTTATGGATTAAGATCCAGGATCCTCTATAGACAAGACAGAAACTGAGTCCATTAACTCAAATGGTTAATACAGCTAACCAGCCATATTGTACAAGTAAAAACCCAGGAGCAATTCCCATAAAACTAGTGACACTGATCTAAGACAGGACAAGAAGCCAAGAATTGAATGCTTCCTGCAATTCATTAGGCTTCAGTCTGGCAGAGATGCTATAGCCATCCTCAGTAGCTCTTTTAGACTTCATAGTTAGTATATAGTAAGACTAACTGA